TCCTTATTTCCAGCCTTTCTGCCTTAATAACCACTACACAAAACTGGCTTTTAATTAACCACCACAACATTTCAAAATTCTCAATGTTGTACCAAGAGGTGCACAATGGCACAGAAATTGTGTGTTCCTGGGACATGCACACAAAAGAAAGAGCACCTACATACAACCGCCAGATAGTAATAGCAACAGTACCTGACTCACCCTGGGTTAATTTCAGAAGCTCAGCAGGACTGAGCTGGTTAGGATTTGAATAGGAGATAACCAGGAAATCCCAGGCTTGCAGGCTAGATTGAGATATTGAAATGTTTTAATATTATGCATTATTTTTACAGGAAATTAATCATAGTTGAAAAGGATTTGTTGTTTTTTGTTCTGATTTTACTTTTTTTAAAAGTGTGGCTTCAGGGATGGATGGGTAGATAGGCCAAACTTCACAGGCACAACTCTATGTGTGTGTTTGTGTGTGTGTGTGATGTCTCTCTCTTGTGTGTTTGCATGGATATATCCACAGATATTTTATTGGGAAAAGATAAATGTTCAGAATTAGTTTCAGCTGAGTTGCCTTATGGGGAATAACACAGTGTAGCAATAAGAAAACAGAATATGTGTGTGTGTGTGTGTGTGTGTGTGTATTCATGCATATACACAGATGCTGTCTGTTCTTTCTTTGGGGGATTTTGATCAGATCTTCCCTAAATTGAGGCGACCCAAATGTCTATGGCTGACAGGCATTGTATTTTAGGTCTGAGATAAGTAATCTGCAAGCTTAGGCCTACAAGCAGCTCTCAGGATCATTGAATGTACCTTCAGAATCCCAAACTCTGTGCCATTTAAAGAATACTCTTGCAAAAATGGTAGGATATTGGTAAGTTAATTTATGTGTAAGAAGGACAAGACAGGAATGAATAAAGGAGGGAGGAGGAAGGAAAGGAGAGAGGAATACCAAAATGCGGGGGAATATGAGGCAGAACCACTTAACTTGCCTCTGGTTTCTGATATGTAATTCAATTCTGTTTATATCAGGGGTGTCAAACTCAAGGATTCGGCATGCAGGATGCTTAGATCTGGCCCACAGGGCCAACCTAGAAACAGCGAAGGACTGGCCTGCAATGCCTCTGCCAGTAAAAATGGAACTTGGGAAGGCCATGTGACGTTGAGCTGGCCATGCCCACCCTGACCATGCCCACCCTGACCATGCCCATCCTGACCACACCCCCTCCCAAAGTGAAACACAACCCTAATGCGGCCCTCAATGAAATCAAGTTTGACACCCCTGGTTTATATCATTGGCATGCGTGAATCCTCCAATGTATTGCCATCTCTAGTTTTGCTAGTTGATCAGTTGGACCAGACACTCTTCAAATGGTTAAAAAAGTATAATAGTGTGGCCATGAAACAGAATCAACAAAGAAGCTCTAAGACTAACTGGGCAATGTTCTGGCAGGAGAAGCAGAACTATTCTACAGAACCAATGGATGAGCCTCAGACAGTAACAGGCTATGTGGTTTAAGATTTCCTCCACAAGATGCTGGCTTAGGCGCAGCAATGTACTTAGCCTGCCAAAGAATTAATCTTCTTTGCCCATTAGTTACTTAGTCTTCCTAAATTTAGTATTCTGCTCAGACAGTTCTAATCTCCAAAGTTCTTTAGTCTAAACACAGAAAAACCTTGAGTGGAGGAAACAAGTTCCTCAAGAAAAATGCCACCTTGTTCTGATGTGAAGAAGAGTTCAGAGACTGAGAAGGCACCAAGGCAGTTGACAGGTGGCCATGTGGTAATCCAAACACAGAAAGGCTAACACCTTTTGTGACAGCATTTTGTCTGCCCAGAGGGATTCTCCTCTAATTTGTTGACATTTCTCAATAAAGAAAATTGAGCAGTAAGGACTTTGCTATGAAAGAGGGCACTGGATGAGAAGTGCTCTACATGCTGTGACTATATCACGCTTACAACAATAAGATGGCACACCCCTGATTTCTACTGTAACACTTAAAACTGTGGCAAGTAGTATGCAGAAACAATCCATGCTGATGGATAGATAGAAGCACATACAACTCAACAGCAGATTAACGACAGGATAAAAGAGTGGATCTGATATAAATGCATGAGTCATTTTCTGTTTTCCATTTGTTTTAAGGAAATGGCTACCAGAAGATATGGCCACTTGTTTATCTGAGAAATCTACAAATCCACCCATCTTGTTTTTCTTCTGAGGTTTCTCCAATATTAGTCACCCATTGGGTAATCCACTGTTTCCTTGTTCAGTTTCACAGTGGAAAAAAATATGATAGGATCTTCTTCTCCACCCAAGGAATAAAATGAGGAATAAGATGCAGGGTTTACAGCTGTAAAAATGGCAAAACTTTCATCACTGACTCCCAATCTAGAGGAGAGCAAAAATATTTTGAAACTGACATGTTCTAACTGCAATAGGTTGTCCAACCTGTTCCAAGCTCAAACTATTTTCAGAACATGCAAAAAATTTTGTTCCATTGTTTCTCTTTGAAGAGTCTTGCACATGTATTCCCAGCAGCAGTGAATTAAAGTGCCATCAGTTGCTTCTTAGATATAATTATTAGAAAAATAAAAGGAGCATATTGAAGTGGGGTCAGAAAACTATCCAAAAATTATCTAAGAAGCAGTCTTGAAAATCAATTGACACAGTAGTCATAAAGAAATTCTTGAA